AGAATGGCGTGAACCCGGAGGGTGGGGGCTTGGGCACATTGAGCCGAGATCGCGCCACTGCCACTCCACCCTGGGCGAGAACAAGAGGGAGATCCCGTCTCCAAAAAAAAAAAAAAAAAGGAAAAAAGAAATAGCTATAGGATCGGCCTGGCTGGAAAACTACCCAAAGCTCTCAATTGGGCTCAGAGAGCAAGTCCCGGGGTGGGTGGCCGTGGCTCCACGCCTGTAATCCCAGCACTTTGTGAAGGCTAAGGCAGGCGAAATTCACCTGAGGTCAGGAGTTGGGAGGCCCAGCCTGGCCAACAAGGCGAAACCCTGTCTCTACTAAAAATTACAAAGACGTTAGCTGGTGTGGTTGGTGGGTGTCCTGTAATCCCAGCTACTCAGGAGGCTGAGGCAGGGGAGAATTGCTTGACCGGGAGGTGGAGGTTGCAGTGAGCTGAGATCGCGCCACTGCCACTCCAGTCTGTGGCGGACAGAGCGAGACCTCCAATCTCAAAAATGAAACTCAGAGAGAAAAAAAAAAAAAAAAAAAATCTCCAAACTGTTCTGCCTGATGCGCAAGCCCTCCCCAATCTCAGCTCCCACTAGCACTGTTCAGCTCTCCTTGGGCCAGATCCCCAGTTGTCCTCTCTTCCAACTTCCAAGGTCATTCCTGCCCCCCTGATTTTGCCCACTCCCCTCCCCTCTTCTTTACCAATCTAAACCTTACATGTTAGTTAACATACAAAACAAATCTAAGTATTTTCCTGTGAGCCCTCCCTGATATTGAATACATAATGCTCTCACTTCCCATGGTGCAACCTCACACTTCGTCATGTTGTCTGGTTTTTGTTTGCATGTAGTTTCAGTGTGTACATAGTTCCTGCAACTAGAGTCTCTGAACATAGGGAACGTGTCCTCTTGTAACATTTCTTCCCTAGCACCTAGCAAAGATCTGGGGACATGATAGATATTTATTGCTTAAGCCCTGCCTATCGAAGAAAGGGTAGGGGTGGGGGTCACAGTGGGAACAGCCTTAGGGTTCAAGACTGACTGATGAAAAATAGGAAGCAGAATCTAACTATTCTGGAAGTAATCGGGCCCATTGGAAAAACTGTTCTTTTTTTTTTTTTCTTTTTTTTTGACACAGTTTCACTCTGTCACCCAGGCTGGAGCTCAGTGGCACAATCTGGGCTCACTGCAACCTGCACCTCTCGGGTTCAAGTGATTCTCCTGCCTCAGCCCTTAAGTAGCTGGGATTACAGGCATGTGCCACCATGCCTGGCTAATTTTTGTATTATTAGTAGATACTGTTTTTCGCCATGTTGGCCAGGCTGGTCTCGAACTCCTGACCTCAAGTGATCTGCCCGCCTCAGCTTCCCAAAGTCTTGGTATTACAGGCGTGAGTCACTGCGTCCGGCCATACTTTTTATTTTTAAACTGGAAAATATGGAGAGAGTAGTCTATCCGGGCATTCAAGGCACATATCTAGGAAACCTAGGAAATACCAGTGAGTCCACATCTCGTTTCAAGACTTCTCTATATCACTCTGCCTGTACTTGCTCTCTAGAAAAACATATCTGGCCTGTGCCCCAACCCCACCGGGTGTTTCTGCCCATTGATTACACTGAGTGAGAGAATGAATTCGTCCTGAAGAATTGACTCAAACGATGAGAATTTCAGAGAGCCTAGAAAGCTGGCAGGGAGTGTGCCACTGGCATGGGGAATATTACTCTAGTAAGACAAACTGCCTGTTGAACTCATCATAATCAGGAATGGCTTGGAGGAAAGCAAGACAAAAAGCCATGTGATAATCTATACAAATTTTATTTTGATATCAATTTGTATGGAAACAAGCAGGTGTCAGCATTATGCAGGCACAGAAAAAAGGGAAAGAAAAACTCCAGTGATAATTTATCTTGTATTTACACCGTTTGGTTTCAACAAGGACAGGAAGCTTTACTGTTAGCTTCCTGTGGGAACTCCAGTTTCTGCACCTTCCCCTGCTGCCTCTCAGCATCACGATATAGCAGGGATTTCTGGGCCTTCAATCGGCAAGCCAGGCACATGAAAATCGATTCCACGTTCTGGCTCTCTTTGGGGTCCTTGGCCGATGTCTCAAACAAGAGCATGTTGTGGGCATCAGCAAATTTCAGGGCTAAGTTGGAGGGCACCTGGATCTGTTCCCTCAAGTCACACTTGTTCCCCACAAGCACTTTGGGGACTAGTGGGGGCACAGCATGCCCATTGCATTCTTGGATCCACATTTTGAGGTTGGTGAAAGATGTCATCTTGGTGACGTCATAGACGAAGACCACGGCATGTACGTTGCGGTAGTAATGCTCGACCATGCTTTTGCGGAAACGTTCCTGACCTGCTGTGTCCCACACCTGAACCTGGAACATACAAAAACGCAGAGATGGAGTCAGAAAACGGAACAAGAACAGAGAGGAGAAAACATGGTTTTGTAGCACTATAAAAATGAAGTGACACGATGGGTACAGTGGCTCATGCCTGTAGTCCCAGCACTTTGGGAGGCCGAGGCGGGCGGATCACCTGAGGTCAGGAATTCGAGACCAGCGTGACCAACATGGAAAAAGTTCGACTCTACTAAAAATACAAAATTAGCCAGGCGTGGTGGTGCATGCCTGTAATCCCAGCCACGGGGGAGGCTGAGGCAGGAGAATCACTTGAACCAGGGAATTGAAGGTTGCAGTAAGCCGAGATCGCGCCATTGCACTCCAGCCTGGGCAAAAAGAGCGAAACTCCATCTCAAAAAAAAAAAATAGAAAAAGAAAAAAAAAATTGAGTGACAAGCCATGACACAGGAAGTGGTTCTTTGACAGATGAGCAGAATGGACTTATCAAAGCATAAAGAGAAGTTTCAGGATTTGTCAAGTTTTTCTTAAGATTGTTAACTGAAAATTTTGAGTTGAAAAAAATCTTAAGATTTTTAGTTGAAAAATTGGATGTAAATTGGTCAACTTTTCTGGAGAGCAATTTGGCAATATTATCAAGAACCTCAAAAATGTTCATAACTCTTAGGACCTGAAATCTCACTTCCAGAAATCTATACAAAAGAAATAGGGATGTGGTCAAAATTTTGTACTAATATTTTACAGTGTTATTTAGAATTTTTTTAAAATAGGAAAAACCTAAATGCTCACCAGAAAAGGAATAGCTAAAGTTCATGTCTATACAGTGGGGCCGGGCACAGTAGCTCATGCCTGTAATCCCAGCACTTTGGAGGCCGAGGCTGGTGGATCACCTGAGGTCAGGAGTTTGAGACCAGCCTGGCCAACATGGTGAAATCTCATCTCTACTAAAAATACAAATAGCCAGGCCTAGTGGTGTATACCTGTAGTCCCAGCTACTCGGGAGACTGAGACATGAGAATCGCTTGAACCCAGGAGGTGGTGGTTGCAGTGAGCTGAGATCGTGCCACTGCACTCCAGCCTGGGCGACACAGTGAGACTCCGTCTCAAAAAGAATAAATAAAAATGAAAATATATCTGTACAGTGGGATATTATGCAGCCATTAAAAATAATGTTTTCAAAGACTAAATTGAAAGAGAAATGCTCACAAAATACAAGTAAGTGAAAATGCAGAATACAGAATTTTTCTTTTTTCTTTTTTTTTTTTTTTTTGAGATAGAATTTCATTCCTGTTGCTAGGGCTAGAGTGAAATGGCACGATCTCAGCTCACTGCAACCTCTGCCATATGGGTTCAAGCAGTTCTCCCACCTCAGACTCCTGAGTAGCTGGGATTACAGGCATGCACCACCACGCCCGGCTAATTTTGTATTTTTAGTAGAGATGGGGTTTGTCTATGTTGGTCAGGCTGGTCTTGAACTCCCGACCTCAGGTGCTCTGCCTGCCTCGGCTTCCCAAAAGCGCTGAGATTACAGGCATGAGACACCATGCCCAGCCTCAAAATTTTTCATATGCTATGGTCTCAATTTTTTTAAAAAAATGTTAAATATATGCAAAGCACAGACTGGAAGTGTACACATCAGAACATTAATGGTTATTTATCAGCAATGAGACTATAGTGATATTTATTTTCTTCTTTTTAAATATTTTTCCTTATTTTCTTCTGCAAGTATGCATTACTTCAGGGTTTATTTGGTTTTTTGTTTTTGTTTTTGAGATGGAGTTTCACTCTTGTCGCCCAGGCTGGAGTGCAATGGCTTGATCTCAGCTCACTGCAACCTCCACCTCCCGAGTTCAAGCAATTCTCCCGCCTCAGCCTCTCGAGTAGCTGAGATTACAGGTGCCTGCCGCCACGCCCAGCTAATTTTTGTATTTTTAGTAGAGACGGGGTTTCACCATGTTGGCCAGGCTGGTCTCGAACTCCTGAACTCAGGCGATCCACCCACCTTGGCCTCCCAAAGTGTTGGGATTACAGGCGTGAGCCACTGCACCTGGCATTGCATTACTTTTTATTTAAAACATTTATATATATGTATATATTTTGTAGAGACAGGATCTTGTTATGTTGCCAAGGCTAGTCTCGAACTCTTGGCCTCAAGCAATCCTCCTGCCTTGGCCCCAAAATGTGCTGGGATTACACACATGAGCCACTAGCCTGCATTACTTTTTAAAGAAAACAAAGTTAGTGTTAAAATCTCACCTTCAAACCCTATTTATTTATTTATTTATTTATTATTTTGAGATGGGAGTCTTGTTCTGTCGCCCAGGCTGGAGTGCAGTGGTGCGATCTCAGCTCACTGCAACCTCCGCATCCCAGGTTCAAGAGATTCTACTACCTCAGCCTCCTGAGGAGCTGAGACTATGGTCTTGCGCCACCATGCCCGGCTAATTTTTATAGTTTTAGTAGAGAAGGGGTTTCACCATGTTGGCCAGGCTGGTCTTGAACTCCTGACCTCAAATGATCGAGCCTCCCAAAGTCCTGGGATTACAGGACTGAGCCACCATGCCCAGCCTCCAATTTATTTTTAAGTTCACTTTTTGGTTATGTAAAAGGTAACTTAATTCACTGGATTTTTCTTCTGTATCTCAGCTTTTGGGATAAAGGCCAAATTGTGAAGAAAAAAACTGCTATCTGTAACATATGCAAAGACACAACTCCCAGGAGATATACATTCAGCCCAATATATTTCCTTTTATATATCCAACGTCTTGGACAAGGGAGATTCATGCTCAGAATGATGGTCCCAAGGCCCTATACAATTCTCAGTTATCAAAGAAAATTTGATTATGGCCACTAATTGACTGCTATGGCTCTTAAAACGAAGTATAGCCTTTATTTGGAGTTAGCAGTCAGTAAGTATAATCTAGTAAATATAATTGAATCTGTCGGCTGAGTGAAGATTTTACAGGGCCCTAGAGTCATCATTCCAAATATCAGTTTTCATTGTCCAGGCTCCCCGTCATCTCCCTCTATTGACACGGTTTCCAAGTTCCTCTGGCAAGACCTTCAGATTGAACCCTTCTTCTATTCCGATTTCTGTGTCCCTCGGCCCTCATTCTCGCTCCCTCAGCCTCCAAAAGTAGCTGGGATTACAGGCGTGTGCCACTGCGCCTGGCTAATTTTTGTATTTTTAGTAGAGACAGGTTTTTGCCCAGTTGGCCAACTGTCCTCGAATCCTGACCTCAGGTAACGAAAAAGTGAACTTAAAAATAACTGGGGCCGGGCGCGGTGGCTCAAGCCTGTAATCCCAGCACTTTGGGAGGCCCGAGAACGGGCGGAATCACGAGTCAGAGATCGAGACCCATCCTGCTAACAAGTGAAACCCCGTCTCTACTAAAAATACAAAAACTTAGCCAGGCGAGGTGGCAGGCGCCTGTAGTCCAGCTACTCGGGAGGCTGAGCAGGAGAATGGCGTGAACCCGGGAGGCGGAGCTTGGCAGTGAGCTGAGATCCGGCCACTGCACTCCCAGCCCTGGGTGACAGAGCGAGACTCCGTCATCAAAAACAAAAAAATTAAAATAAAAATAATAAAAAAAATAAAAATAAAAAAATAAA